TGTTGTTGTTGTTGTTGTTGTAGATTATTACATTGCTACCGAATCGTCGTAGTATTTAATGACCTGAAGCGGTATATCGATAGTGCCCTACGACGTGCAAGGTTGTCTCGCATGAGTTTATGGTACAGGGTTTAAGCCATCTAGGGGTCATAAGGCTTTTGCGATTCTGGTGCGTTTCATTCGACATACGACTCCATCCCTTAATTATCGCAATTTAATGCCCGAATCCCACCCCCCGCCCTAAACCCCTAAACCCTATAAACNNTAAATCCTAAACCCTAAACCGTGCCCCCTTTACCCAATGCAATATGTAGTGGAGCTGAGCACACAAACCCTGGCACCCCGAATCCCCAACCTACGACCTGGTGCATCAATTAACCAAGCAAGGCACCGGATGCAGATAGACGACCCCTCGGCAGGGCTGTAAATCGTGAAATTTGCCCTCGTACCCGTGAACTCCGGAGGGATGGGGATCTCCGCCGCCTGTAGCTCCTCAGCCTGAGGTTGGTTCAGTTTTGGGTTTTTTTGGGTTTATTCTGATTTATCCCCATATAATATGCAGCCCAGGAAACCACCGTCTCCCAATGGTACTCATTGTCAGCGTCACACTGGGAGGCTAGGCTGGATTCAACTGGGCTGGGTTGGCTTGCCAGGGCTGTCTCGGATGCTTTCTTTCCATTGCCCCGGCCCCTGCCTCGGCCAGAACCTTTCACTGGGCCCTCAGCCTTTGCAACCTCCTTGGCCACAGCCTTAGCTGCAGCCTTGGCTGCAGCTAGTGCAGCCTTTGCCGCAATCTTCTCTTCCTTGAGCGCTTCTTTCTCGGCTTTTGCCTGTGCCTTCGCCGCTTGCTTCTCTGCCTTTTCCTTTTCCTTCTCTAGCTTCTTAGCAGATGCTTCCGCACGGGCCGCAACCACCACCTGAACCATGAGGATGATGTATAACACTAAAGGGACACTTCAAAATTACTCGACTGCATTGTGGATGCATTGTTTCCGAGGCTTGCCTTGCGCTGGGCCGCCAACATATCCTCGTCCTCTGCTGGCGGCATACTGCCGAGCACTTGCGCTTCCAGGCTTGCCGGTAGCTCTGCAGGCGGAGTCTTCTGAAGTGGAGGGCGAGCCTCCTGAAGCTCATTAAGGTTGATGGAAAGTAATTATAGTGATGTGCCCGACATTCAATCAACTGCCTGGGCAGCCTGTCGCCTGTCTTCG